CAGTGTAGCTTCAGCTTGCTCCTTCATCACCACTGGTTCTAGGTTATATGCTAATTTCTGAAATGGTTCTGTATTTGGCAGTTATTCTTGCATATTCTTTTATTTTTAAGAAAATAAATTTTTGTTTAATTGCATAGTATAACTCATATATATTGTGTCTGGTGCATGTGCATTAGGTTTTAGTCAACCTTGCATTGGCATTACTTTTCATTCATGCACATTGTGTTTTATGCAATCATGAATATATATTGTGTTTTATATAGTTATTATTGATCTATGCCTATTAGTACACATCTCTTCAAGGCTCCAGTGAATCCTAGTCCTTCACTCCCCCATCCCCCCACTAACTTCTGTGATCCTAGTGGTTTCCTCCCTTCCCCCTTTGCCTTTTAAATGCTTAGACACATCTTGCTCGGTTATCTACCTTTTCAGTAATGATCTTACGCAGTATTTATCCTTATGAGACTAAGTTAGTTTACACAGCATAATGTTTTCTAGTCTCTCCCATTTTAAATAGTGTTTTAGAATTGTTGTTCCCTAATGCTGCATAATATTCCATTTTGTGACTATTCCACAATTTTCTCAATTTGTTCGTTTGTTGATGAGCATGTGGGCTATTTCCATTTTCTAGGTATTGTGAATAACACTGCTGTGAATATCTCTGTATCTATAACCTGTATCGACCAACCATCAGTCTGGTTCAACTTATCAAATTTAATTCAGCTAATAGCGACCTTCCATTAAGTTCCAAGGTTCTAGATCTTTATGGGGAGGAAATTGCCCATCTTTCTCTGGAAGAGGTACTAGTTCAATAGAATGGATATTTTGGTACCAGCCCCTGTAATTACAAAATGCACCACCAGTCCAGTCTGTGTTCTGTAATGTTGTCCCTTATCATGTGCTTAATAATATGCTGCCGTTAGAGTTCCATTACAGCTTCTTACTGCCTTTGAGTCTGATGATTCATAGCTACCCGGTGACCAGTGGCTCTGCGCTAACATCACCATTTTCAACACAACTGCCCTCATTGCCACTATCACTGTGTTAGTCTATCTCATCCAGGGTCTTCCTTTATTATGCTGACATTTCTACTTTCCAAGCATGTTGTTGGATGCTGTCAAGTCGAACTCATAGTGAGCTGATATACAGTAGATCAACACCTTGCCCAATTCTGTACCATCTTCATAAAATCTGCTGTCCTTAATCTGTACTACTTAATTTGGTGGAGTCACTGTGTCAAGTCTATCTCCTTGTGAGTCTTAGAGGCTATATCTGACAGTGTTGCTCTATTATCTATAAAGCTTTGAAGGATGTATTATTTCAGGTGTAGATGGCCAGTCTGGAAGCTGGACTGAACCATGGATAGCCATGTGAAAATTGCTTTGTATTTGAAATACCCATGGCATAGCTTCCAGCCTCACAACAGCTAGCAAGCCATCACTTTATACCAAACTGACAGACAGGTGTTATTGTTACTGTTGTTAAATGCCATCTAGTCATAGGTGATTCATAGAGACCCTGTGAATGAAAAACCTGGGCATTTGTATAACTCTCATCATTTCTCCAGGTTCATAGGGTTTCCGGAGGCAAGCTATTTTGGAAGTGGATGCCACTCCTGCTTCCAAGCTTGTTTTAATCAGGAAACTCCACCATACACTGTCCAGTAGTAGATGATAAACTCTAGATGCTGTTAATATTTTATAGTAAAACCGTAAAAAAAAAATATATATATATATATTTGCTTAAATTATATGAAATGAATTGGGACTATGCATGTCTCTGATTGCCTCAGAACATGGGACAACATTTATCCCCAGATGATCATTGGGTTAGTTTTTTACTTCAGAGTTTCCATTTCACAACATACTTGTAATTTTTTATTCCACTTCTATTACTCTTATTTGGACATCTTTTATTGGTGGAAACTAAATTTATACCCAGGTTTTTTAGCACAATATCTCATGTTCTTTTTCCTTTTTCTACATTAAAAGACTCTTCTTGACTGAAAGTTTATCCTTAGTCTACACATATACACGTAAAAACTAAGGTCATCATGCCAAACATGAAAAAATGTGCGCAATCACCAGTGTATTTTAAAATTCATGTATTTAATGCTGTCAACCACAATTCATAGTGATTCTGTGAACAGCAGATCTGAACTACACCCTGTCCTGCGTGTGCACCACGACCAGGATCCCCACCGTGCTCATTCTCATTGTTGCGGATGCTATGCTGTGTCAGTCCATCTCATTGAGGATCTTCCTTTCTTCACCTAACCCTCTAGCTTTTCCAGCATGACGTCTTTTTCCTCCTAACAACATACCCAGAGTATGTGAGACAAACTTTTACCCTCGGCTCCAAAGAATACCCTGGTTGCACTTCTTCCAGTTGAGATTAATTAATTTATTTTTTCCCCCAATCCATGGAGTTATCTGTTATTTAAAGGCATTGATTCTTCTGTTCAACTTTCAGATGCATAGAAAAGAATTGAAAATGGTTTAGGTTAGACACATATTAGTCTTTAAACTTTACTCCTTGCTAATTAGCACTTTGAGGATGTCCTTGGTGGATCATGTTTTTTTATTTCTTGATTGTACCTTCCATGGGTGTTAATTGTGGATCCAAGTAATACGAAACTGTTGGCAACTTCTGTCTTTCCTCTTTCCTAGCATGAATTTATTGTGAAAGCATATGGAATATATAATGTCATTTCTTAATTAAGTGTATTAGAAAAGCTTTTTCCTTTTTTTAGTAGAAAGCGCACTCTAGTAGAAATTGCGAGAATTAGATCTGGATAATAACCTTTTTTTAGGGGGAGGCTGGTTTTCAGTATCTGAATAAGTATGAAAGCTGGCCAGAGTAAAATTCCAGACCTTCAGTGCTATGTGTTAGTCACTTTCTGCTCTTTCTTATTCTCAAGGGAACACTTAGTCCACATCTAACAAAGATATCTTCACTGTATCACCTTCCCAGTGTTACACATATCTGCTCTCCACTACTTCATTATTCTGGGAATCCACTCTGGATTTCCATTCCGTTAATTCTGTGTGTGGCATTCTGCTGAGTTAGGTTCTACAAAAATCAGTCTGAAAATCCTGAATCTTAGCAGTGTGTTGTGCTTTGTTCTCTAGCATTTAAGATTTAATAGATCACTCATTATGCATCTTCTTATGGTAAAGGTTTGTCTTTCTTTCAACCCAGCACTGGCAAAGTTCCTTCTGGGCTCTATTGCTCATGGAACCAGAAAATTGAGGATGAAATCACAGCTTGTACGAGAATGCTTACTTCTTTCCTCAGTGTGGTATTTGATATTGACAATACTCTGATACCACTGTGCGTCTCATGTGTTTTTAGGTACATAGCCCTGAGCAAGGATTAGTACTATTTGCTCTACTTGCCCATTAACTTGACAGGGACCTGGGTACAAAAGCTGTGAACCCTTCTCTATCCTGAGCCAATCTCATCATCTCCGACAGACTTAATACCATTTCTCAAGCCACTGAGTCAATCCATTTGGTCTGGGGTCTTCCTCTCTTGTGCTGTCTCTCCACCCTTCCAACCGTAGTACCCTTCTTCAAGGACTGGTCCCTCCTGGCCACGTACCTAAATTATATAAGACGGAGCTTCAAAACCCCTGCCTCCAGGGAACAGCTTGCTTACACCCTCTCAAGGACATAACATCAAGATAATTAACAGGGGCTTTTAACTTCTCTTCCTCCAGTAAATGGGATTTGCTAGGAAATACAGGTGAAGAGAATACTAAAGAAAGATTGAGCACATCTTAAACATAGCAGGTTAATGCTCACATCCAGCTGGACAGAGCTAAAGTTGGGAAAATGGAATAGCCTGAACAGTGTTGTTGGTAATTGATTATAGATGAAGTGTTCTACACAAAGATTATAAATAACTCAATTATGATTTGCCTCATAAAACTTACTATATGCAGTGGCCACAGAGAGTGCAGGTATCAGAGGATGATATATCCTAGATAAGAGCCCAGAATTATATAAAATGTGTTTCTTATCACTTAAGTTGAAAATACAAATTCCAGGGAACACTCTTAGAGTCTTACTTAATGACAAAGGACAGAGAGCAGCAAAATTTCATTTTGCGAACGTTTCCTTCCCCAAGCCACTGTAATTAAAATGGCTTTGAGTTTGTTCAAGTATGATTGTCACTAACGAAATATTTCCTAATGCAGAACCAAGGGTTTACAATTTACATACTAGTTTTGTTAAAATTTGAGATTATTGAAAGGAAAATCTATTCCAGTCATCGAGGGGAAGACACTGTCTGGATATCTCGGATATAAAAAAAAAGTTTCAGTTTTGTTTGGAACTTAGTTCTTTTATGTGCCTAATACATTCCACTAACATCAGTAAAACAGATGGGATTGCACAGTAGCAGTTAGAGAATTCATTTGTTCAAGCGTCCCTGGGCTATGCCAGGACTGTCAGTCAAGTGCCTCCTTGCTATGTGAATGGCTCAGGTGGAGCCTCACATGTGAGTTCATAGGAATTTTTTCTTTTCCTCCCTGTTCTACCTTACCCTTTTGTGCACCCTGAGACACGACTCTAGGATTACCATGATGGCTTTGCCAAAGGTCTACTGGAGCTTCAGATTTTAATCCTGTAAACTGCCAGGGTGCTGTCATACTGACTTTACACAGATGGTGATCTTAAACTACCCAACAATTGATGAGTAACTGAGCACTTAACCATTGCACCATAGGGTTGCTATCAGAATCAACTAGAAGGGACACAACCAGATAACATAGATAAACTTTTAAAAACCCTGTTTTTTACTTAGTTGTTTTCCAAAGCCTTGTGATTTCACTATTACTGCTTTCTTATCTCATTTTTAAAATCTTGCTTTCTTGCATAACAGTTTCTTTGAATAGTATATGTAATATCCTGCCCTATTAGTATTCATTTCTGGTCATCATCTGATTTTTTTTTCTTGTTCCCACCAGTTAGGAATGCTTTTCTTTTTCAATGCAGATGCAGAGCTTGCAGGGTGGTACAGAAGCCATAGCCAGATTAGATCAGTTAGAAGCTGATTATTACGACCTACAACTTCAGTTGTATGAAGTACAGTTTGAAATCTTGAAGTGTGAAGAGTTACTATTGACAGCCCAATTGGAAAGCATCAAAAGACTTGTATCAGGTATGATGTATGTGTGTGTGTTAATAATTTATTATTATTTTTTAATGAAAATTGATAGAGACTTCAGATTTCCATTCATTCATTGTTGCACTTTTCTCCCTGCCCACCCTATCCCCACCCCCCAGTTTGTTTTTCTCTTAGAAAAGTTCTTTGTTATACAGTCCCTCCCCCCTCAAGTCCACTCCACTACTCAGACTTTGATCTGGACTCCTGTCATGACGAAATGCTTAATCATATATTCCTTTTTTAAAAAAAAAAAAAAGAAAATTTATTTTATTATTTTCTGTGTGTTTACCATCAAATCAGATCTGACTGGTCCAGGAGGAGACTGCCGCTCCCTCTCCAGCAGAACATCTGGTGGATTTGAACCGTGTACGTCTGAGATTGCAGTGCACGTTCTTGCCACCAGAGCTCCCTTCATCTATCTCTTTGAAATAGTTCTCTCCCTCATCTGTTTCAATGCAGTATACATAATTTATCCCATCTTTCTCAGTTCCGTTTTACAACAGAATTTACAAATACTGTTTTACAACAGTATTTGTCTTTTTGTGACTGAGATATTTCACTCAGCATAATGTCCTCCAGGGTCACTCATTTTGTATAATATTTCATGAGTTCCTTGTTTTTCAATGCAGCATAGTATTCCATTGTGTGACCAGAGCTGCTCTCTCCATTTGTTTGTTAATAGGCACTTAGGTTGTTTCCAACTCTTTGCTATTATGAACAAAGCCACGATAAACATGGGTGTGCTTATATCTGCTTGGGTGGCAGTTATGGTTTCTTTGGAGTATATTCCCAGTAGTGGGATTGCTGGATCAAATGGTATTACTATTTGCAACTTTTTGAGAAAGCACCATCAGCCGTCCATAGTGGTTGTACCATTTTACACTCCCACCAACAGTGAATAAGGGTTCCAGTTTCTCCACAACCTTGCCAGCATTTGTTGTTTGCTGTTGTTAAATTTTGCTATTCTTTCTGGGGTGAGATGATATAGTTGTTTTGATGTGTTTTCAACTACGTAAGTTAATGGAAAAAAAATAAGACACAAATATAGAAAATTTATATTGACCTTGGTTGCTTTTCTCTATTGAGGAGGCTAAAACACAACAAACTCTTGACATATAAAAGGAATTTTATGTTGAAAAATGTTCTGAAATAAGACGAGTTTGTCAGTAGGTTGTAGCAATGGTAACACTGCTATTTTTGGTTACCTTTGGAAGATAACTTGCTTTGTAAAAGTTTCTTCAGCCAGAATCTAGATTTTTAAAAAACAGATTTATTTGGGCTCTCTTTTTATTTATTGAACATTTAGTATGTGTAAGACTCTTTGTATATTCTCTGCACACAAATCACTCTGTGAGATGAATGTCAGTATTTTACATGTGTGAAAGAAGGAATCAGGTGTAAGGTTCAAGAAGTATGGCTTGGCTTGTGGTTCTAGAGTTCTTTCTGTTTTTATCACCCCCACACCGTACCCATTGTGTTCTTTTCTGTAACAGAAAAAAGAGATGAAGTGGTGTACTATGACACTTATGAAAGTATGGAGGCCATGCTAGAAAAGGAGGAGATGGCAGCATCTGTGCTTTTGCAGAGGGAAGAGCTGCAGAAACTTCAGCAGAAAGCTCGCCAGTTGGAAGCAAGACGTGGACGGGTTTCAGCTAAGAAAGCCTACCTCAGAAATAAAAAGGTGTGTGAAGTTAAGCATTTCTTGGATGTATAATCTTTCTTTTTTTTTATTACTACTATACTACTTTATTTAATGTATAACCTTATTTTTTTTATTTGAAATTTTAAAATGTTTATTCATATGGCTACCTGTAGTGGGTAATTTTGTAAAAATGTAATTTTTCTTCCCACTTGTCATTAGACATTTTTTCTTTCTAGGCCAGACATTACTTTCATAGTTTCCTCCCCTAGCCATTGTCAGTCCACGTGGAATTGGAACCTAGTATTGGCTGAGTTATTAGGCTTTGACTAAACCAGTAACTGGTCTGCTTTAAGCTCTCATGTCTTAACCTGTAAGTAAGATTGTGACTTGAAACATCAGTCTTCACCAAATTCTAGGGTTTCTACTTTCCCTTCCACAAAGAACTAAAAGACCTTTGTATCTTCAAATAGCTCTCACACAAGCAAGAACTCATGCAGTCATTTTTCCCCACAGTAGGTCAAGAATATAGGGCCTACTTTATTGACCCATATAAAATACTGGACATTCTAGCTTTTCCTTATTTTATGAAGCAGAATTCTTAAATTTTTAGCTTTTACTTACACCATGGTTTGCCTAATATTGTATATTTTCTAATGCATCCTGTTTTATGTTTCTTGTACCAGCCAAGAAAACATGATGATGATAATACGAGCACGTCCCTGACACTGTAACAGAGGGTGATAGATGGAAATGGAATATAAACTAGAACTGATTTTTTTAGGAACATTAGAAGGAAACGCTTTCATGTACTACTTTTAGTTGTGTAATGCAACACCTTAGAACCTAGAGTTGGGGAACTTTTTGAATGCTTTTTGAGAATGGTGTACAATTCACACTTGTAATTACTCACTTTAACTCAGCAGTGTAGCAGGCACATTGCTAGACTTTTCATCCTGCCCCCCTCTATCTTGTAAAGAAGGCATACAAAGTAAACTGATGGCTGTTAGACCACTTAGGGACAGAGCAAGAGAAGGGAGTAAGGAAAGCTGCCTTTGTGGTGATGCTTGAGTTTTAAATATATGGATAAAATTGCTGAATTGATGGATGGTAGGCTATTTCCATGAAGAAGTATGTTTAGCAAATGCCTTGTTAAGGTATTTTATGTGGTAGAGGTTGGGTTGTAGGAACTTTTGTATGCTGTACTAATAAGCCTAGACTTTATACTGAAAAGTAGTATAAGTTTGTTGAAAACATTTAAGCAACATGGAAATATGAGCAGTGTTGCATTTTAGAAAGTATGGCAACCTACAGAATAGGTTAGATTAGGAAAAAGGCAGATTTGTGTTTGAAATGTAATTGTTCCAAAATAGCTCATTGATTTTTTTTTTAACTTAACAATACTTCAATGGAGGTACACTGACTAAAATGAAAAAATCCAGAGGAAAGTGCATATATGGGTTACAAGTATTAGCAAGTGGTTTCTGAGGTATCTAAATGGAAATAAGAATTCTTGTAATATACATGGATAAGATAGTGCTAAGAGGAGATACTGAGTAAATTGTCCCCATAGTGACAAGGATATAGGAGTTAGGCATACTACTCAGAAAGCAAAGCTTAACAAAATAGTCTTGGCAGACGCATGAGAAAACAATGTAAGAGGTATAAGTTAGGACACTGAGCAGCTTTTAGGCAATATAAGAAGAGGCCCTTAAGAAAGAAACCTGGGGGACATTTAAAGTTGTGGGCAGAGGAGGGGGAGGAATGTGAAAGAGTGACTGGAGTTAACAGAGGTAGAAGAGAAGGCATATGTTTCCACAAAGGAGTTTTGTCCATTTTCAGGTGTTCCAGAGGAATGAGGGAAATGGGAAGTGAGGGAGTTCCATAACATTCCTTCTCTGAGTTCACTGGGAACCTTATTTTGGGTGTATATTGGGGAGAGTGCAGAATTCTTGAGTAGGTAGGATGATAGAAAGGAACTGCACACATACTTGGTGCTTGGTAAGGAAGAATGAGCCTTGTGGTCTAGTTTTGCAAAGCTGTGTACCTTTGTAGCAGTATTAAAAGCCTGGCTTAGACTAGCCTCTTACCTTATTAGTGCCAATTTAATTGGTTTTGTTATAATGCATAAAGAGATTTACAGTCATCTTATGCAGAAGTGAAAGATCACCTTTGAAATTATCTGAGGACATACTCTTCCACCCACCATGTTCCACACCTGAAAAAGAAACTATAGTAAGAGTTCTGGTGGTGGCCTAGAGGTAAGGAGCTATGTGGTTTGAATCCACCAGCTGTTCTGCCTGAGGTAGATGAGCAGTCTTGTGCTGTGTGATATACAGCCTTTGAAAACCCACTGGAAGGTCAGCTATGAGTCAGTTCCAACTTGATAGCAATGACGTGAAAGAAGCTAAAAGTGAGTTTAATGGAAAAGTCTTAAAAGATCTAATTCTACCATTTTAATAGTTCAAAGAGCTACCAGAGGCAGAGTTACTTTGCTATATGTGTGTATGCTAAGATGAAAATGTCAAAAGTTTAGAGTCTTAAAAGTTTACTTATGAAAGCACATTTTTATGTGTGTTTACAGGAAATTTGTATTGCAAAACACAATGAAAAATTCCATCAACGCCTTCAGAGTGAAGATGAATATAGAACTCATCACACAATACAACTAGTAAGTATGGACTCTTGAAGATTGGACATAAAATATATAGCAAAGAAGAAAAGTCTTACAAATGGATGATGTTAACTTTCTTAAAGCTTAATCTTCGATGCCCAATGTTGATGCACCCCATCATGCATTAACTAAGACTGCCCTTTACTTTTGATTTTAAAATACACAAAAGTTACCAGACTAACATAAACTCTGGTTTTTCTTTCTCCTAAAAGCTGGAAGTGTCTGCATTAATTAATTAATGCACTTTTATTTTTCATTTAAAATTTTCATGGGTCAAAATGACTTTGCAGGGATAGACAAGGCACCCGCTTAATAATTAAATAAAAAAGAATGTATCCTAATGTCAGTCTAGTTTGTAACCAAGATGTCATGCTTAGAATTTTTCTTTTTTATGAAAATTTTGAGCTTTTGGTAAAAGGCTGATATTTTGGTGACTAAAGTGACTCACTTTTAAGAATGATTATCAAATCCTTTTCTAAAGAGTCTTATGGGGAAAAGAACAGTAAAAATAAGGAAATTTGTCATGGACCTTTAACATTTCTTTAACCATCCAGCAGGTTTTCACAGGCTGTAAATCACACAGAAGAGATTGCCCATCTTTACACATACAGCAGCTGGTGGATTTAACCATGTGCCTTTGGGTTGGCAGCACAGCTCCTTACCCACTAAACTACCATAGCTCCCCAGACTAATGCAGAGAATTGTTTCCAAAGCTGATTTTAAACTACTTTTATCAGGATCTCTTCAATAAATGTTATAGATCCTATGATCTCTGAATGTTACCGTAATTGTTTGAGAAGTTTTCTGTGGAAACTTATTAATTACATACGTAAAACTAAGAAAATGTATTTTCAAATTTAATAGTAAACTCTCAAAACAAAAATAATTTAGTTAATGAGAACATGGAGGTTATTTGTGTGTTACTACTACTTAGCCCAGAAACAAATTAGATCAGAGAAAGTCAGGAAACAAGTTTATTTTCTTCATTTAAAAATATGTTATTGTTTATATAGCATGCTCATAATGTAAGGATTTCATTTCAGGAAAATACTTCTAAACAAATAAGACAAGTTAGAGGGTTTTTTTTAATTGCCTCCTATTTCTGCATTCTAAATGTACCAAGCCCAGTAATTGTCCTCATTTTCTGAAAACATAATTTTTATTAGAAACTTACCAATTAGCATCATACTCTTAACAGCTTCTTCACTTTCAAGAGCAGGATTCCAAGTTTCTGCTGACATGGATTTTTCCCCCTTTCCTATGTTTTCTAGGGGGTTGTTTTGTTTTCTTTTCAAATGACCTTTTGCTTTCTTCGTTGATGGTACCATCTCACAATTTGACCTTTGGCCTCTAGGCTTTGTTCTGACTTAGAATACTGAACTTCTCCTCCTTTTCTTTCCACAGATGTAGTTAATTTGATTCCCTTGTATTCTTGTGAGGAGATTCATCTGTATAACAGTTAATGTTGTTTAACAAAAGGTATTTACAGTGAGTAAGTCATAAGTTGTACACAATTCTATGCTAATACCTTAGGCCTCATTTTTCCTATGAATATTCCATGTTTTCTGCAACCAGTTCTCCTACTTTGTTCTCAGCTTTTACATTCTACTCACTAGTTGTTATTAATGTTTTTTGGTTGCATTTTTTAAGACTGTGAAGCTGATGGAAATCCCCAATTTCTTTACCTTTAGCCAAAGCTGTTGTGGGGTTTATTGGAGCAATCATCATTTTACCAGATCTAAATCTTGCCCTATCCTGCACCATCTCATATGCTTGAGCCCATTGTTACAGTCATAAAATAAGACTCAATCAAGTATTGGTGGCACTGAAGGATGAAATCCAAACTGCGTTGGACAGATTAGCAAAAAACAAAACTATAGCATTTAATGCGTAAAATGCAGCTTTCAACATGTTTATTAATCTATACCAAGAAATGAAGATGACAACTACCTAGCCAACTGACTGGAAGGTATCTGTATTTTTTCTTTTTGTTTGTTTGTTTAAATTTAATTACTTTTCTGGACTGCCAGGAGAACAAACAGGTCTGTCCTGTAGAGGGTGAAAGCAGGCTTCTCCCTCAAGGAAAGGATTTTGAGGCTCTGTCTCACATGCTTTGGACATCTGGCCAGAAGGAACATTATGCTTGGAAGAGTGGAGGGACAACATAGGAGAGAGGAAGACCCAGGATGAGATGGATTGACTCAGTGACTGGAGAAATGAAATTAGGTCTGTTGAGATGACAAGATTTGCTCAGGATGGGGCAGGTTTCAGAGCTAATGTACATAGGGTTACAATGAGTTTCAGGCAATACTGTGGCACACAACAACATGATTATTTGACTATGTGGATTAAAATATATTGTAGATACCATTAACAGAGAATTCAGAACACTTCATTGTTCTCATGTATAAACCATCTGGAAGAATATGTCATAGTTGGATCTTTTCTCCATACCTATTCAGTCTATAGAAAAACTCATCAACATTTGTGTGATATGCAGATAACTAAACTTGTTAAGTGAAAATATAGAGCATTTAAAGCATCTACTGAAGGAGATCAAAGACTACAGCCCTCTGTATGGGTTACACTTTAACATAAAATATACAGAAATCTTTCCAACTGGACCAGTAAGCAACATCTTGCTAAATGGAAAAATTATTGCAGTTGCCGAATAATTCGTTTTACTAAGATCCACAATCAACAACTAGGGAAGCATCAGTGAGAAAAATCAAATGACATGTTAAAATTGGCAAATCTCATGTCAGGGATCTCTTTAAATAATTTAGCCAAAGTACTTTTCACTTGCTTTATGTACATGTGAAAGTTGGGCAGTGGAAAAAAGGAATCAGAAAAGAGTTGATGCTTTGAATTGTGGTATTTGTGAAAAATATTGAATATAGTATGAATAACAAAAAAAAACCAGCTCAAAACATGTGCCTTCAAGAATGTATATTCAGAGTGTTCCTTATATACAGGGATGATGAAACTTCATCTCATGTATTTTGAGCATGTTGTCAGAAGAGTGGTCTTAAAAATAGACATCATTCTTGGAAAAGTGAAGAATTCACAAATGAAAGGAAGACCATTAAGGAGATGCCTAAAACAATGGATTTGAGCACAGTAGAGAGTGTCAAGACAGCATAGGAATGAACTGGGTTCATTCTGTAGATGAATATACATACCCATGTAAGTAGCACCTAGTTCAGTAAACAGAAGGTCAGTATAAAGTGCTCCATTTCCATGCACACTCAGTCATTTTATGTCCTGGAATTGTGAACCTTTCTAATGTTATTTTCCTCAATAAAACACTAATACTTCTGAATAAAAAAAAAAAATTCATTCACTCCTGTAGTGACTCTACAGGCTTTAGAAAGATTCTTTTTCCCTTGAGTGTCATGTATTTTGATATGGGAAGGCACAAGATCATTCTCAATTACTGATAGTTACCAGATGCTTATTGATGTTTTTGTAGTCCCTTCCTTTTGTTAATGTAGTTGGAAAAGTTACCCATTCCTGCTGTGTGAATAGAAAGGTATGGAGTAAGGATGAGGAGGTGAATATACTCTTCCTCATTATGTCCTTGAACCATTGTGAGCCTTCTAAAGATGAGCGTCCACATGGAATCTTAACATCTGTTTCTAATGCAGAGCTCAAGTCACAGCTTCTCTTTACTTTCCCCATTAAGATTGTATAAAAAAAAATTGTATCGTAAATTTTCTGGTATCTAGGACTAATATTGAGCAATACCACATTTTGTATCTACTGTAAAATTATTTTTGAGAACTCTTAAAACCTTCCCTTAGGACACTCTAGAGACAAATGATATTTTTAACCTTCTATAAGAGGAAGAAGTGAGAAAGTAAGCATCTTAGCTCATTTCCAAATCCCTTTGTACAAATATGAAGGGCTAATCTACATCCAGAGAATCCAACCACTTCACCAAGAGACAGAAAATAGAGATTGTTTCATCTGTCTAGATGACAGACCAATTGATTATACTGGCAGTGTTAGAAGTTTTTTTCTCATCTGCCAACTATAGATCAGTTACACATCTTTTAGCCATGCTCTCAAATAAAAAATCACTACTATTATTTTCCAAGAGTTAATTGTAGATCCAAGTAAGATGTAGTTATTGAGTGTTTCAATCTTTTCTCCATCCATCATGGAGTAATATCATAGTGGTAAGAATCTCTTTCTTCTTTACATGGAGATGCAATTCATATTGAAGGCTGTGTCCTTTGATCTTCTGCAACAAGTGCTTCAAGTTGTCCTCATTTTAGCAAGCAAGGTTGTGTCAATCTTCTTAACATGGGTTATTGATGTCTCCCTCATTGATTATATTTAAGCAGACTTGATGCTTAACATCAGTAATCTTAACACAGCTTATCTGTTTTGAGCTTATTTGATTTATCCCAGAGGTCATTAAATGTCTGTATAAGAGAATGTTTTCAGGAATCTTTCATGGTTGCTGTAGTTTCAGAATTCTAACATGTTTTGATACTGTTTTGGGTTGTGGGTTTTTAAAACATAACTTTCAGAGTAATTAGGCAAACAGCAAATGCTGACGAGGTTGTGGAGAAATTGGACACCTCATTCACTATTATTGGGCCTGTAAAATGGTACAATGACTATGGGAAACAGTATGGTACATTTTCAAAAAGTTGGAAATATAAACACCATTTGACCTAGCAATTCCACTGCTAGGAAAACACCCTAAAAATACCAGAGCTGAGCCTACCAAACAGATTTGTACACGTCCATGTGTATTGCTGTGTTAGTCACAAAAGCAAAGAGCTGGAAGCAACCCAAGTGCCCATAAACAAATGAGTGGATAGAAAGACAATGGTATATTCACATGATGGAATACTACACCTCACTGAAAAAGAAGGAAATCACAAAATAGACAACATAGTGACCCTAGTGGACATGATGCTGAGTGACATATCTTAGTCCCACTAGGACAAATACTGCATAATGCCACTGTTATGACTAACATGGAGGTTGGGGGGAAACTAAGAAAAGAGGGAATAAATGCATTACATTGAGATAGATGAAGCAAAGAACTTTTTAAAAGGAATATATTACTACTCATTATTTGTCCATAGCATAGTAGACTAGGGTGAGAGGGGAAGGGAGGAAGAAAAATTATGCAACAGTGAATTTTTTTTTTTTTAAGTAAAGTAGGGATAGGGAGGAAAATGTGCAAAAAAGGAGAACGAAAAGCCAACTTTTCTGTTAGCTTTCATTTAAAATTCCAGGTATAAAAAGAAAAGGGAGGGCCAAAGAGTAATTTGGGACTTCTGGTGGCAGGACGAACTAGTCAGTCCAGCACCTTTTCCCTGTTCTGTCGTAATTCCAAAGGATAGGGAAGCCCATTCACAGTAATTCTAGTTCCCTGAAAATCTGAGAGCTGGACAGTGAATAAGGATGACAGAAAAAGAATTGATGCCTTTGACCTGTGGTGTTGGAGAAGAATACTGACTATCCCATCAGCTGCCAGAACAAACTTATATGTCTTAGGGAAAGTGCACCCAAAGTTCTCTTTGTAGGCAAAGATGACAAAACTTTGTCTCACATACTTTGGGCCTTCTATTAGGAGGGGCTATTCCTTGGAAAGAGACCTCAGGTTTGGAAAAGTAGAGAATCATCAAATGAGGGGAAGACCCTCAAAGAGATAGATTGACACAGTGACTGCAGCAATGGGTTCAAGTATGTCAGAGATGATGTGGGTGGCACAGGATAGGAGTCTTCAGTTCTCTAGTTCATAGGGTCACCAGGAGTCGTACTGATTGGATATAGTACCTGAAAACAACATTGAGAGTGAAGTCAGACATAAAGGAGGGTGAAGGCACGAGTAATAATCAGTTAAGCAGAAAATTGCAGCAGTTCCATGAACCCAAATGCCAACAGCCACCAGAAGACTGAACTCAGGATCCAAGAGAGGAAAAAGATCTTAAGGACCTACAGCAGTGGACAGCAGCATGGGGAGAACAATAACTCATCCCTCTGCTGCTTGCAGATGACCAGCGAGTAAGCCACCTTTCACTGAAAGGGTGGGACATTCTTCGACCCCAGGCATGGCCCTTCCCCTTAAGCGAGCAGACCAATGCCATCTTGAGGGCAAGAGGGTAGGAATTGGAGTTTGACTATTCTGACAGATATTACAACCCTACATCCAAAGTTAAACCCACTTGGAACTGCCACACCTGCCAGCACCTTTGCATTTAATCCTGTGTATTTGGTACACAACAGACACTGGCTGGTTGGCTTGGCTGAGGAACACCTGGGAAAAGCCTAGGCCACATCTACCCCAGACCCACTCCTGCAGCTACCTAACAGCCTTGAGCAATTGTGACTTGTGGCCATGCCAGGGATCACAGAAAATTTGAAAGTACAGTATTCAGGGATTGACTGAGTGGCAGTCTTCAGAACACGGCATGGTTTAAAATCTGAAAAGGGTGTACACCAGGAATGTATCCTATCTCCATATCTTTTCAATCTGTATGTGGAACAAATCGTCCAGGAGGCTGGACTCTGTGAGGAGAAATGCAGCATCAGGATTGGAGGAATACTCATCAATAACCTGCATTATGCAGATGACACAACCTTGCTTGATGAAACTGAGGAGGACCTAAAACAATTGGTGCAGAGGTTCAAAGACTCAAGACTTAAATATGAATTGAAGCTCAACATGGAGAAAACAAAGATTCTCAACACTGCAGATTGGCAGCATCATGATGGACAGTGGAGAGATTGAGATTGCTTTAATTTGCTTGGCTCCACAATCAGTACTCTTGGAATCAGCAGCCAGGAAATCAAAAGATGAACTGCACTGGGAAAGGCTGCTGTGAGGGACATCTCACAATGATGTCAGTCTAAAGACTAAGGTGCACCTGATCAAGACCATGGTCTTCACAGTTATGTGCTATGCATCAGAAAGCTGCACAGTGACTTGGAGTGATATAAGGAGAATTGATGCTTTTGAACTGTGGTGCTGGAGAAGAGTATTGAATATACCATGGACTGCCAGGAGAACAAACAGGTTTGTCTTAGCCTAGCAAAACCAGGCTTCTCCTTGAAGGCAAAGATTTTGAAGCTCCGTCTGAGGTACTTTGGACATGTCCTTGGAGAGGACATGCTTAGGAAGGTGAAGGGACAATGCAGGAGAAGACCCTTGATAGATTGACTCAGTGACTGGAGTAAAAGGAGTAGATGTGTCAGAGATGGTGAGGTTGGCTCAGGATACAGCAAGGTTCAGAGCTATTATACATAGGTTCACTGTGAGTCTAAGGTGACCCGACAGCACATAACAACGATATCTTTTACAGTGAAGATTGAAGTCTTCCCTTGAATCAGATTTTCTTTCCTAATACTTTTGAATACTTTCTCCAAACCATGTTTAGTATTTAAATCTTTGAACTAGCTAATTATTGTTCAGGTTCTTTTCCATTTCATAGTTAGGGCTGTGATTTGTAAGTCCCATATATGTATCTAGTTCTCGCTTCTTGTTTTCATCTTAGAATGTTTTTGTGCATGTCAGCTTGGAACCAACTCATAGCTGAACCTCTTCAGAGAAGTTTTAGAGGCAATAAGTCTCATGGGAGGAGATTGCCATCTTTCTCCTGTGGAGCAGCTGGTGGATTTGAACTGTGTGCCTTTCGCAGCTCTTTACCACTACGCCTCCAGAGCTCTCTGTCTTTGTATGGTAGCAGAAAAAAGCTGGAGCCCTCCAACATTTTCTGAACATTCTGCCCTCTCGGTAGCAGGGCAGAGATAATATTCCTGTGTTGTCCCTCCTCCGTTTTGAGCTACACCTGTCCTGTATCCTAGAATGCGGTCTTTGCTGGAACATTCTTAGCTTCCTTTATGGACTGCTCTTGTGCTCAGTTTTATCACTGATAAACACAAATGGGGATTTTCACGGCGGTGACATTTGTTTTTCAGTATTTTATGTCAGAAGCTTAAACATAGGTCTGATATCACTTCATTTATAAATTTCATTGAATTTAGCAGGGATTTCCCCTAGGTTGGGGTTGGTATTATTTATTGTGTTTGAAGATGGGATTTTCTTCTTTAATTTTCATTCTTTATGGTTTTAATTGGTGTCAAGGAAAAAGAAAAGCATTAAAACGCTGTTAATCCCAGTATCTTTTATTTGAAGATTCCTGCTCACACAAGCATTCATTAAAATAATTTCTGAAAGTAATTAAGAGCTGAGAAATTAGAATATTACTGCCATAGAAAGGTCCATTTATATAAATGTATTTAGTAACTTATGCCTCTCTCTTACTTTGAGTATAAATGAACTAATTTCTGTTTATACCCTAAATTACTGATTAATTTTAGTATATGGTACCGTTTTGCATCTATATAGTATAAATTATGTTGTTAAAGAACTTTTTTCCTCAAAAATAATTAGCCCATCATGCATGTTTAATGTCCTGTTTTCTTTCTCCTTAGGTCACCTTATCCATCTTTTTTTCCACATTTTTAGGGAGTGAAAGAGCAGTTGGAGACTTCTTTATCATTTTTTCCCCTAGGTTTTTTCATAACTATTCAAGGAAAATGCAGTAGTAACTCATTTAAATCATATTATCCAAGGAAAAAGCTAGTTTGAAAGAGGAGATAACATAATAGACAAATTGGGATAGGACAGTTAGAAGTGTGGGAGAGAGACAGGTTATTTATATACTGGATGAAGGCCACCCTCGTCTCCATGTGAAATTATCTGGGTTCATGGACAGTTCAACCCTAACCTCTTTATCCCAAAGATAAAATACTTTTCCATTCAAAGAAGTTTTCATTTTATGTTATACCATCTTAAATTGAACCAGAAGAGGGAACTGGTATTATTTTCAGTAGGATCAGTGAATTTAAAACTCTTTCCTGCTATAAAACATTTTGTTTAATATAGTTGGTTGATATGTTACTGATGCCTTCATCCTTTCCCCCCCCATTATTAATGGTAATAATAAATAAAATATGTCATAATGGGATTATTACTAATTTTTTACCAGAAGAGAGAAAAATTACATGATGAAGAAGAAAGAAAAAGTGCCTGGGTTAGCCAAGAAAGACAGAAAACACTAGATAGACTTCGAACATTTAAACAGGTAATAAAAGCATGGTCAATTTTTCTCTTGGTGGTGTGGTTTTTTCGGGTTTTTTTCACATACTCACACAGTTTTTTTTTTGGGGGGGATGGTTTTTGGTGTTGTGATTTTTGTTTGTTTTTTTAAATTTTTATTCATGTGTGTGTGGTGTACCGTCAAATCTGATCTGACTGGTACAGGAGGAGATTGTCCCTCCTTCTCCAGCAGAACATCTGGTGGATTCAAACCGCATACCTCTGGGATTACAGTGCACCTTCTTGCCACTCCGTACTTTTCATTGCTTTTTAAATAGAATTATCATTTTAATTTTAGTGCTGATGTAAGAAAAATACCAATAATGAGTGGTTTTAATAAATGACTTATTTTCTCATAGTTAAAGAGTCTGCTTTTAGGAGTTAATAGTTCAAAGGGAAAAATTTTCAGCACTAGTTCCTTCAGCGCTCTGCTTGGTGTTCATTGGAAATTGCTGTATAGCATCTCTTTCCCCACGCTTCTGCTTGCTTATCTTTGTGCTCATTTTTAGTGATTTGTTTAATTATATCTGAGATAACATATATTTATGTTGTTGTTGTGTAGGTTGAGTAGGAGCTGACCCCCTGGCCAGTTTTCAGAGGCAGTTAACCAGACAGGAGGAGATTGCACATCTTTCTGCCATGGAGCAAGCAACTGGTGGCCTCAAACTGGGTGCCCTTGAGATTGTAACACAGCTTCTTGCCACTAGACTGCCAGAGCTCCATATATGTCTCATTTTTTATGTGTATGAATATTCCACCCTAAATGTGAATAATACACATTCTTCTCCAGTGCACATGGATCATTTTCCATACTTGACCAAACAATTACCAAAAAATGTTAAAAGATTGAAATTTCTTAAAAAAAAGATTGAAATCAAAGTATCTTTTTTACCATAACAAGAACAGAAAAAATAGGGAGGAAAACATGAAAAGGAAATAGTGTTTTAAAACTGGAGAGAGAAAACTGTTTAAAAGGGATATGTGATTAGGTATTATTGTCATCATAGGAATCCAGAACGAAGGCTGCATAATGAAGTGGACCAATGGAAATCTAAAGTCTGTAAATTTTCATTAAAATTAATAATAATAATAAAACTGTTGGCTCAGAGAAGATATGAAAATGAAATTTAGATTCCCAGAAGAAAATGACACAACATATCAAGTTGTTTGATAGACAGCAAAAGTAGTACACAAAAGGAAATTAATAATAAATTTAAAAAGAAGGTGCACAATCATTGATATCAACTGACAGTTTTGGAAAGAGGAAAAAAACACCCAGAAAAAGAAGAGCAAAAGATGCTTGAAAAAGGAAATAATAAATATTAGAACCAAAATAAACAAGAATAGAAAAGCCACTGATTAGACTGGGAAAAGAAAAAAGCGAGAAGGCAGTAATCTTGAGCAACATAGGAAAAAAATGTATCAAGTGATTTCTTCCAAGATTACAAGAGTGGTTTCAGCCAGAGAAAAATCAGTCTCTGTAATATACCACATAAACACAATAAGAAGTAATATCAATTGGTGTATCAGAAGCGTTTCATAAACTTCAACAGTCTGTCTTGATAAAACGTAGTTCAAATCCACCAGCTACTTCCCGGGAGAAAGATGGACAGTCTCCTTTCCCATGATTCATATTGCCTCTGAAAACTCAGACTTGGTTCCAACTCAGCTGTGCACAGCAACAATAAAGAAGTTGTTGATTGCCTTTGAGTCGAGCACAACTCATAGCAACCCTATGAACAAAAGGCCTGAAGCCATTCTACAACTATCGACACTTATCAAAGTTTATAGAGTTTCCGGAGACATATTATTTTGGAAGTGGGTACCACTCCTGCTTCCAAATAATGGAGTAGAAGGAAATTTCTTTAACATGACTTAAGGGCTCTAGCAGCTAAATGATAAGGAGGGGGGCTGCCATCACAAAGATAATGTTGTTCATATCCACTAGTTGTTCATTGGAGAAAGATGATTCACTGGAGGGTCAGTCAAGAGTCAGATCCAACTCAGTGACACATAACATGCCAATCAGCTACCAGTATACTCCCTGGAAGAAAGCTGAGAGAGCCTTCTCTTTGAGAGTGAAAACAATACACAGATGCTGTTTATCACCACATTCAATATTATACTGGAAGTCCTAGCCAGAGCAGTATATCCCTCCATCAGTACTGTCCTCATTACAGTCAGAACCTACCAGTTGACACTATAGTAAGTAGGTTTCTGAGGCTATAAATTGTTATTGGAGGAGATTGACCATCTTTTTTCCCTTGGAGCTGCTGGTAGATTGGGGAAAAAACTAGAGAGGTATGCCTTTGGATTAGCAGAGCAGTTCCTGTGAACTGTGCCTCCAGAGCGTCCCTTGATAGAGCAGTAAGACAACTCGGCCTCAACTCATTGATTGCTCTTGAGTCAGAACCAACTTCTTAGCTGAACCTCCAGTGTGTTTCTGAGGCTGTACACTGGATAGGGGTAAATTGCCTATCTTTATTTGGACTCAGTGGTGGCTTCTAACCAGTTACCAGGGTAATCACCTTTGGATTAAGCGCTCAACCAGGGTTCCTTCAGTAAGAAGAGAAAGATAAAACAGCATCGATCTGGAGAGAGAGAAGATGGCGGAGGTGGAGAGTACAGTGTAAAGAGCCAGAGGGATAGCAAGCTGCATAAAGACAGGACACCAGAGAGTACTTGACGCTCCATAGAGACTGACCATCACAGCGTGATGTGAACAGTAGGATTTTGAATCAGAACTTTTGCTAACACATTATTTTAGAAGCTGTAAAAACCTGAGCCTGCCTGCCTGCCATGCCGCGGTCCCATTGCTGACCTGGCAAAAGCTGGAACCCACTAACTGAGCTGAGCTGCATTGAGACTCACCTGAAAGGAAAAAGGCTAGTGGGGAAATTTGGCTGAATTCACTTAAGCCCCACTAAAACCTAGAGCATCTGGTGTGTGGCGTGGACAATAGGAATTGAATCATAACATTTGTCAAAACTTTTAGTATTGCAACTGTGAGAACAAAGCTGCACGGACTCGGCAAAAACCGGAAGCCACTAGATGAGCTTCTAAGAGACCCATTAGAAAGGAGAAAACTTAGTGGGGAAATTGGCTTAATTCGCTTAAGCCCCACTAAGACCCAGTAGGTTTGTTGCACAACGGAGATAGTAGGAATTTGAATAAGAACTTTTGATGGATTAGAGTCGGAACTGTACGAAAACAGCCTGGATGGCACTCCGGTCCACATTTCAGTGCGCGCTCCAGATCAGCAAAAGCAAAAGTTGCTGGACCCATTTGAAAGGGGAAAGCTTGGTGGGGAAATTGGATGAATTCTCTTAAGCCCCACTAAGACCCAGTGGGTCTGTTGTTTGACGTGGACAGTAGGATTTCTAAAAAGAACTTTTATTGATACAAATAGTTTTAGGAACCACAGGATCTTAAACCCATACTGCTTTATGGAAATTTGACTGGTCCTCCTAGGCAGGGGCCACTGGGTGAGGGCACTGGGTAGTGCCACTGGGTAGGGGCCACTGAGTGAGAACTACTGACTGGAAGACAGACAGCGGGAATTCGATCAGGGTCCTCAATCGTGAGCACACCTGGGCAGCTAAGGTCTGAGTGAGGTCCCTCAACTGGTTGACCCACCCTGGTGACTATTTCACCTCCCTGCCTGCCCCACCCCATTTGGCTCCACTCCTGTGACTACACGACCAGTCAGTCAGTCAACCTGCCTTTAATCCAGAGCACCTGGATCTGACGTACCTGCAAAAGACTGCCCTCACAGGCTCTGAACTGACCTTTTCCTTGAGTTAGAAATTCAGAGAAATTGTCTTCAGATCAAGTTTAAATCAATGTCTCGAAGAAAACAAGCTACTCTACACACTACACAAACGCAAAACAAGATGTTACCACCAAAGGGTGAAACAGTAGCAATGGATTTCCTAAAACCAGAAAGTCTGATGGAACTTTCTGACACAGAATTTAAAAGAATAATGATTCCGTATTTTCAGTGGATGAAAGACAAACTCGAAGAACTACAGGATGCTACAAGCAAAAACCAGGAGGAGCTAAAAAAAGCAGAACAGTGCAGATAAAACAAATGAAGCACTAGAGGCACTGGAAAAATAAGAAACCATGATCCAAAATATGAGGTCCAATGTTTCAGATGCTGTCAACGTGATGGGGGGGACACAAATAGAATTGAAGAGATAGAACACAGAACCAGTGAAATAGAAGATAGAAATGTCACCACTGATCTGCTAGAGCAAAAAGCACAATCAAAAGGGAAGGGAAAAGAAGAAAATCTAAGAATAATGTGGGACACCATCAAGAGAAATAACATGCGCATCATTGGAATCCCAGAACAAGCAGAAACAAGTAAAGACACCAAAAAACTTGTAGAAGAATTACTAGAGGAAAACTTCCCAGGCATAATGAAGAATGAGAGAATATATATATTCAAGAAGCTGAGAGAACACCATATAGAATAGACCCCAAAAGAAAAACACCAAGGCATATCATAGTTAAATTTGCCAGAACCAAAGATAAGGAGAGAATCCTGAATGCAGCAAGAGAGAAACAAAGAGTAACCTACAAAGGAGAACAGATGAGATTAAGTGCCGATTTCTCAGCAGAAACCATGCGTGCAAGAAGAGAGTGGAAAGACGTATCAAACACTCAAAGAACGCAACTGTCAACCAAGAATACTGTACCCAGCAAAATTATCCATCAGATATGAAGGAGAGATCAGGATATTCCCAGAAAAACAGAAGCTAAGAGAGTTTGTAAAAACAAGACCAGCATTACAGGAAACACTGAGAGATCTCCTTCCTACAGAGTTACCACAGACAGCAGCATGGACCAAAGTAACTAGCAACAACACCAAAAAGAATTCAACAAAATGATAGCAATAAAACCCTGCATCTCAATAATCACACTGAATGTGAATGGTTTGAATGCACCATTGAAGAGTAGCAGATTGGATAAAAAAACCAA